ATCAAAGCAAATCCACAGCCCAGACAAGACAGTAGAGCTTGACAAATTCAAATTTGGTCGACGCAAGTACAACCGTGGCAGTCTCGTCGAGGGTAAGTGGGTCCTAGGGGGTATTTACCGTGAGCAAAAGAAACCTTCTTTATTGAGGTGGCTAATCAAGGTTTCACAACCCTTGTTCCTCTTATCAAGAAATATGTGGCGGCGGGAACTATGATCTTGACGGATTGCTGGAAAGCGTATTGCCGTGAAGTATGTCTCCATGGGATCCAGCAGCACACTTCAAAGCAAATCTGCAGCCCTGACAAGACAGTAGAACTTGACAAATTCAAATTTGGTCGACGAAAGTACAACCGTGGCCGTCTCGTCGAGGGTAAGTGGGTCCTAGGGGGTATTTACCGTGAGACAAAGGAAACCTTCTTTATAGAGGTGACTAGTTGAGATTCTGCAACCCTTGTTCCTTTTATCAAGGAATATGTGGCCGCGGGATCTACAATCTTGACGGATTGCTGGAAAGCATATGACTGCGTCGATAAAGAAGGATTCTAGCATTTCACAGTAAACCACTCCTTCAACTTCGTGGACCCAGAGACCGAAGCCCACCAATCAAAACTTCAAGTGCCAGTGGTGGCAGGTCAAGCAAAGTTTGCCGAGCACACACACAAGATCGAGCGTGAGCTTTGGCTTCTACCTGGCAGAATACAGGTGGCGCCAGAAGAACAAGGGGCGCGACGCCTTCGAGCAGATCCTCAGCGACATCGTATGGCTCTACAAGCCACCATTGAGGATACAACCCCTTCGAATAGATCCTCAGCAACATCGTGTGGCTCTACAAGCCACCAATGAGGATGTAAATGCTCCCCTTGCTCAAAGAGCAAATTCCAACTTGCTCAATGGCCTACTGCTTCGGCAGAAAAGCCAAACAATAAATAAAGGAAGGATTTGGTTCCCTTATCCCGAGTGCCAGACTCTAAAAAGGGGGGGGGGGTGGAATAATAAAATCTTAAGCCTGTGTATACAAGCGCTGCGCAGGCCCATTGTCAATGGTTTGGAATAAGCCACCAGAGCAACTTACAAGTGTAGTCCATTTTATGAATGAGAAACGTATTTAAATTGTTTAATCTTATTTAGAAATTGCCGACTTTTCCCGGAGCTTTTCTAGTCAAGATCTTAAGGTGTGTATTCCAAGAAACAAGTGCAACGTACAGTGGAGCCAATTAAGTGGTGCTTTTGGCTGTGATCTGGATGATATGTTCATGAATTCTCTGCCAGGAATCCAGACCAAAGCACCACGGCAACAGCATATTCGTATAATCATGATTTAGGAATTCATTCACCAATTCCAAACCAATATTGCCAAAGTGGCAAAGTGTGTTTGTTCATACTTGCGTGTTTCTATGTGTGTACATATTTGTATGTCTTTATATTCATCTATCTGTACATTAAACATGTTTTTTCTTATTAACGTAATTACATGTACTTGTCAGTTGCTTAACTTTGTTTTAATCATTGGTCGTTGATTACATTAAACTTAACAATTTTTTTAATGTGACTCAATTCTTTAATTTATTCTTTAGTTTACGGTTATGTTTAAATTGTTTGGTACCATTATTTGGTACAATTAGGCACGAACCATTAATCATTAACGCATTGGTATGTATTAAATGTATCAGCATCGTCATCATTGTTTGACTGTACCACAGGCGACCACAAATTTCTTCCAACGACTATGTTCACTGGCAAGGTTGACAAGTTGCCTTGGTTGGAGCAGAGATGAAATGAATGTATAAATATTTGTCTATACAATTTATGTAAAGACAAATATTTCTATAAAAAACTTTTAATGAATTCAATGAAAAATAGATGTTGAATCAATAATTGAACCCCCCCCTCCCCCAAAAAAAATATTGGACATGATATTTATTCCAAAACTGGGAGGTGTTAATCCGCCAGTGGCTAAGGATGGCTGATTCATTACCCTTATGTTTACTGCATCGTGGATAGCTACATGGGTTCAAATCCTGACTGTGGGAACATGGTGCTTGTGCTCTTAAGCAAGGCACTTTACCATTATTGCTTCGTCCTTCGGATGGGACGTGAAGCTGTAGGACCTGTGTGTTGTGTAATGCACGTTAAAGAACCCAGTAACACTTATTGCTAAGAGAATGGGTTTACCCCGGTGTTTCTGGCAGTGGCTGCAATATGCACCGCAGCACCTTGTAAACCCTTATAAGGTGCTACATAATGGGTCTTATATTTCTAATAGACTTCATTTACCTGTCTTTAATAATAGACATAATTTCCAGCGCCTTGAGTACCTAAAATTTGTTGGTAGATATGTGCGCTGTATAAGATTCCGGTATTATTATTATTATTATATAGATGGCATACACCTTCACATCTGGAATATTTCCATAGCTCTGTGTAAAGTATACATATGCAAAAAAAATATGACTTTCAGAATGGTGATTGTGTCCTTGGGCAAGACACTTTAATACAATTTTTTATATTACACTGTGTAAAGTGCAAATGTGAGCAATGAATAATAATTTATTTTAATGTTAATACAGCGCTTTCCATCGTGTCAACAATCTCAAAGCGCTTTACAATTATTCCCCCGTTCATAAGGCCATGAGACCACGCGGCAGCCAATATCAGCGCACATTCAGACCTCTACCCTCACAGGTACCCATTCATACTCCTGGGTGAATATCAGACATTACCAAGATGAGCTGAAAAAGGCAGCAAGCTTCAAATCACTGACGGGACAATCAAAGCATTCACTGCTGCTCAGAATAAATGACGGACAAAGGATTAAAAAGAAGAGGTATATATGAATGAGAGTAAAAGTCCTCACAAAAGATGACAAGAAGATAAAACAATAAACATGGATGTAATGGTGTCCTTGACCCTAAGAACTAACCCTACCAGGAAGGAGACACAGCAACTGGAAGGGTGTGCCGTTCACCCGCAATTTAAGGGGACTTCCATACCCAGCGGGCACATAACTTCACAGGTCACCATGTCCCAACCAGATCTAACCTACAGTAAACGCCATGACCTCGAGGAGACACATGAACAAGCTGGGGAAAAGGACTAGTGTACAACGGCTAGATAACTATTGACAGTACCAGACAACAAGCTAAACATAGCTATAAATTAGTCGATAGGTGTTGATGCACACGACACTTGAAGGCCACTAACTCACTAAATGGCCTCCAAAGCCACTGAAGGCCGGTTCATACTCAGTGCGAAAGCGAATGCGAATGCAAAATTTTGCACTGCGATTTCGCAAAAGTTGAGCACATCTCACAGCCGGCATATTTTGCAGCCTACATTTCACGACGTCAAACACAAATTTCCTGAGACTCTCTAAATTTCCTGAGACATAACCTCATAGTTCGCAACTTTAAACAACTGGCTTACAAGTCTCTTGTATGACCACTAATGCAATATGGTTCCGTTGTTCGGTACAAAAAAATCTCATCAGTCAACTGGAAAGACCCGGTAGTGCTGCGCTGTGCAGCGAGATTTGTCTCAAATTGTTTTCACACCTCAAGTGTCAGAACAATGCTTTAAATCTCTTCTGTGGCAAATTCTTGAGGAAAGGCGCAGCATTGCTAGACTAACCGTATTCTACAAAATTACTCACGGCCTGGTTGCCGTTAACATGCCATACAAATCCAAAAATCTAGATGTCCCCACTCATACAGAAAAACTCATATGCATACAAGAGCCCATCTTGTATTAACAGAGATTACCGTCGGATGTCTTTCTTCCCCTGCATCGCTACTCAATGAAATCAACTCCTCATTCCACACTAGAAGCACATCATTAGAAGTACAAACCTATCCTATTGAATAGTCCCGTAACGTCCAACTAGTTTTTTACTGTGCACACTCCATTCACATGCTGCTCACACAACAATGTGTCTCAGTCTTCAAAGTGTTCGAAATTGGCGCATAAATTGGAAGAAGAAGGCCTGAATGGCAGATAAGCCATAAAACCGATGAATCAATGAATGATCATCAGGAAAAATACCATATCAACAAGAATGTCAGCTTATTTGCAGAGCTGATCTGCTTGTCCACAAAAACAATCCCAAATACACATTTCTTTTCTGAGGGTTGCAGATGCCGAAACAGAAAAGGCAGGTTTTTCTTTAATCACTTCATCGAGATTATTTTTGCCGAAAATTTTGATATTCACAAAAGGCAAAATTTTCCAGCCAACTTCTGATATACAGCCAAACGCCACAAATACTGATTCGCAGGAGTCATTGCAACAGTATTTGTACGATATTTCTTGCCGAAAACTCATATATTTAAATACTCCAGGTGCGCACTGCAGCGTAAATTGTACGACAATAGGCTGTGCACAATGGCCAATTCAAGATCAACACACTGTCCGCCTCCACAGAGTTTGTGTGTGTGTACAAAAGGCACGAGGGATTAGCGTGTTTAGACGTCACCCGGACGCGAGTCGAGGCAATCTTGACGTCTTAACCCGTCAGCCGTGCCTGTGTATAAAAACAGCCAGGGCGTGTTATCACGTCTTCCAATGCGAACTGGTTAAAACAATAATCAAAAGGTCTAGGAGAACAAAATAAATTTACCGAAGAGTATACACAGCATATCTTAAAGTATCATTAAAAAAAGCTGGGAAATTACGGCAAAAACTACAAGCAAAAGCCTCTGCAATTGACTCCATGCACTGAGTACCCCCTCAACGGTAATAAAGAGAGAGTTGGGGGAGACCACTGGAAGTGGAAGATAAATTCAAATGCATTGCTGACGCCACATGAGGCTTCCACGAAACAGTCACAGCTTTGCCAACATTCAGCATAAAGTGAGTCGTGCGTACTTCGCGCCATAGCACGTGAACAAGTTTGCGCATGCGGCGCGTGCAACTCCCACCGGGGCTCTCGAAAGTGTTCGCAAAGTGTCACCTAGTGTTCATGCACAGAGTCCACTGCAGGGGTTGATACAAGGACTAAAACCTACCTGGAAGGCAGCGAACCACATGAGCCAGTCCAGCCGATAGTGATAAGGTGATATCAGGCAGGGTCTACGAGTCACGTTCCCCGGCTTGCATATAAACTCATACTCCAGCCAGACAGCGCTAGGGTCCTTGGGATTGGTTGCATACGTCCCCTCAAATATGACCTCAGTTCTTTCTTTGGTGATACTGAGGGGGAGAAGGGGGGGGGGTAAAATACAACTTCAGGGTTTGAATAACTGGAGTGATGTGGTAGGGACCAGTGTTTAAGTCACAAGTACAATTGGTCAATGTTTCTGTTCAATTCTGTTATCTCTCTGATGGCATGTTTCATTTCACAGAAGTCTAATTCTGTGCGAGATGGCAACTAACCTTCCGAAAGCTCCGTAGGTGTTGACAAGTCTCAATGGATCAAAGGACGTGTTCATGGCTTGTCTCGTGGACAGTAGGTTGGAGACTACAGGGATGCTCAGGTAAGCTATCAGCAAGGCTAGGCTTATATGAAGAACTCGACGCACATAAACACCTATGACGTAAACATATATGTGATGCTAAATGGGTCGTTTGTCGGGAACTTTCATTTGGAGATTCAGGCCAAAATAGGGCCACTTCATCACATCACTTCATCACATCTATTGGTGTTCCGACTTCCATAATTTTTAAACTAAAGATGGTATCAGCATGAGGTTTTCACAGCAGTGATGCTGAGATTGTGCTATTTTCAAATCTGTAAAAATAAATTGACCAGGGTCGACAAACAACTCATTTAGCTTGATCGCATCACATATGGTACAACAAAATTTGGTTGCCTTTGACTCGTTAACTTGGGGAGCACCTTCAATCTGCATCACCTGATGCATGGTTTCACTGCATACAAAAACAGGGTGTCCCCCCACCCCCCCAAAAAAATAATACCTCAAACCAACCTCTTTTTCACAGCCTTAAAAAAAAATACATCACCAATCTTGATACATATTTGACAAGTTTATTTCATTAGCTTTTCAACAACGAAGAAATCCTCTCAATTGGACAACTATTTATTGAGTTATGGCAAATTCAAAAAGTGCCGCTTTTTAATTTTGTCCACGGTGACTGATGCTTGACTGCTGCAATGAGAACAAGGGCCAAAACTTGCATCCGTGAAAGAGGCAACCATTAGTAGGGGGCAGAGCAGAACAATAACCATCTAAGATGGTAACAAAATAGTCCTTCCCAAAAAGAGGAATGAACAATATTGCAAAAAGTTAAAAAAAAAAAAAAAAAAAGTAAGAATGAAAGATTATATTTACTTTTTGCAATCGATTACAAACCTATGAACGGGTACGAGCCAGCTAGACTGGTTCCCTGACCTTACAATTCCCCAATGTATGTAAACTGCTCTGTTTCTTCTTATATGGAGTCAGGGAACCAGACTACAGGAAAATGATCGTTTTTCTTGGTTTTTATAGCATTTTCGAACCCAAAACCTCAAGAAAGTCAGTGTAACTATATTTGCTATATATATTTCCAACCCCCCAATTCCATCCATTTCTGAAAATTACAGCCAAAGCAAATGATGTATATTCCCTTTAATATTTTACACAGGTGCAAAATACGCCAGTAGAACTTGATCTGTGCTTGAAATCTTGTCTATCATGTGACAATCATGTGACCTACCAATTGTAGCCTGGGGTCCAGTCCCATCCCTGTCCTCTCTCTGTATCTGTCTCACAGTTGCCTTGGCCCCACTTAGCCACCCAGGGAAGAGCCAGGCTAGGCTCCTGTCATCAAAGCAGCATAGGCTGGGCAGTATGGTCAACCAGTTCAGAAAGCTCAGGTTACCGCTGATGATGAGTACCACCTAGAGGGGTTGAATTTTTCATTTTTTAATTATATACAGGGTGAGACAACGAAAGCAAAACCCAAATATTGGGCGATTGTTTTAGGGAAGTTCTGCATGTAGCTTTTTCAAAATGTAGGATATGAAAGCCCAATTCTCAAGCTTTCTTTTAGAACAAGAATCATTCAAATCACTCATGTACTTTTCAAGTTACAGCATTTTAAACACAACCACCATTTTAAGGTTCTGCCCACGGATCAAAAAAGTCACAAATGACAAATGATCTACTCTACCTTTCATCCCATAATTCAATATCTTTTTATGTAATCATGATATGAAATGTAACAGGGATTTTTGACATACCTGAAAGAAAATTTGAATTCCTCCTGCTAGCAGCATCGTCGGTCGCCATGGTATCAGGATAAAAATGGGCACAACCAACTCCACAAAGTGATTGGACAATGTCTCAAACTTGTGCATAGCTTCTGGAGTCTGATGTAGGTAGTAACTGATGGGGTTGGGAACAGGCTGGGTCTGAAAGAAAAATTCATGAAGTTTTCCGACTTTTAAAAAAAAAATTCAATAGAAGTTGCCTGCAACAAGGCTGAAAGCCACTCATGGTAATGGGCTGCAAAAAAAGACAGGCAACAAGGTTTGCTGGCTCCTGTACCACAAAAATAAAACTCGAACAGTGCGTTACAGGTATGTGCTACACATGACCTAATCCTCTTCAATGAAGAACCACAACCTTAAGTTTCGGGTGACTAGCAATATACCTAAAAATTGTTTTACTAAATACAGTCGGCCATTGTTTTCAATAATATCTGTGCCGTATTTACAGTTGTTATTTCTTACAGATCAAACAATCGTATTAGTTCGTTATTGAAAAGTGAGGTCAGAGACCAAGTCAAAGTTCAATCAGTTGAACTCTGTCGAGACATCACCAGTGTCTCTCAGCAACCAGACGCTTAATAGTGACAACTATAAACTGCATGTAAGATGATTGCACATCCATTTTTCAGATTATAAATCGGCTTTGAAAGTACACGTAGTCTGATGTTCTTTGATAGAGAGTAGAAAAAGTATGAGAGAAAACCACACAATTTACAAAGTCTTAACATGAAAGTGACAATGCATTGAACTTTGCCAAGTTGTGTATGTGTCGTCTATCCTAACTGAGCTCGTGATGGATGCAAGGGCTTCATAAAGTTAACCCCTTGATGGTTAAACATTGCCATATGTCTTTGCCAAATTTGCCGAATAACAAATGTTTCAATGAGCATTTCTTTTTGATTGGCATGCTTTCCATACCTCGTAGTGATAATTCATGCAGGTCAAGTCTCGCCAACATTGATCCCCTCGGATTTTGATCAATCCCTGGAAACAAGCAGAAATAAAAAGAGAAATAAAACAACTCCAAAATACTTGTTCAAGATATAGTCTTTATGAGAACAGATTTCACAATTCCTCTTATTTTATCCCCGTAACAGGGGCCATTTGTAAGTCAGCAAAGCTTCTCTGTACAATTCTACTTGGAAAGGAGTAAAAATTTCTAATCCGAATATGTTGGTAAAAGACACAGTGTTTTGGAATTTCGTGTACATGTAATTTTAAAATAAACTTTTCACCATAAGTTGATCAACAAATGCACTCAATGATGCATAAAAAGCTTTTTTTCACACCTTGTCAAAATGTGAACTAAAATTTAGGCAGTATCCTGAAACCAGTGTGTTTCATCATACATCAATGATGGTGTTTGTTATTGCAAATATTTTTTAAAAGGCCGAGAAAGATTTCTAATTTTTGTTTATACCCGCAAATTTTTTTCTGCAAGGCTCTAGCGTCGGCGTACCGCCATTCATTTGTATACCATTTTAAAGCTTGGAATCTTAAATTTATCCCTGGCGAGTATTGGTTTGTTATTTAAAAGAGTTTTCAAATTATTCGTGTTCAAATAAAGGCATGTCTAAAACAAACTCAACCGATTTTAAGGAAAATCGATGATGTGGTACATCAGATGCAAACTCAAGTCAACAAGCTGAGGAAATAACCAAAAAAAGCAGTTTATTTATTAAGAACACATTTGAACTTGAAAGGAAGAACAATATTGTGAATATATTTAGGGTGTAGTCTACGTGGATCGAAAAGAAAAGGAAACACAGAAAGTAAAAGGCAACAAGATTGTCACATCATGAACATGATGAAGCATTTCCACATTAGAATAAATGCACATGATTGATTTCCCTTGAAATCGGTTGAGTTTGTTTTTGACATGCCTTTTTACGAACACGAATAATTTCAAAACCCTTTTGAAAATCAAACCAAAACTAACCAGGGATAAAGTTAAGATTCCAAGCTTTAAAATGATATTAAAATAATGGCGGTACATGTTTCCGCAGCGACGCTAGAGCCTCAAAAAAAATGTTGCAGGTATTTTGGGACGCGCTGTATGTCAGAAGACAAAAGAAGCACAAAGACTGATCAAACATAATGACCAAGCACTATCAATTTGAGCTGTTGCATGCACTTCAGACAAATCATCGCAGAGCTGACATACCGACAAATAAGTGAAAACCCTCTTCGAGTAATTCGCGTTTGAAGTTGGACTTTTTTCTGGGCGTCGTATTTTACCCTTAATGTTTCGATAACAACCCTTTTGGTATATGTTCGAAATAAAATATGAAACGTAGTATCCCTCAGGTTTCTTATTTAATCAGAGAAGTTGAGCAATATGTTTTTATTTGATCGTAAACGTATTTGTCAGTTTGTCAAATTACAAAATCTGTAATAGCTGATTGTTCTTCACACTGTTTGTATGCTACTCGTCAGTTTGTGGAATCGTGCGCGCGCTGTAAACAGCGCGTGCGCAATCCGACAAACTGACAAATAACATTCGTTGGAACTTTGAACGCACACCTTACATTAGATGGTAACCAGTGAAATTCCGTATTGGTCACCATGTCAAATTATGGATGTTGTTGTTATGACTGATTCGCCGCAGGGGGGCTTCGAATTTCAAAATCCAGACAAGAATGAAGAATTTTGGCATAAATACTTGAAAGACCAACCTATAAAACCACAAAAACGACAAAATCTAAAAATCTCCAAATGATCGATTCGCCGGTTTTTCAGCTCTGCGACGAAATATGGTAAATGATTATAAGAACCATATGGTAAATGGTTAGTAACTGTATGTTTTTGTTTATCAAAAAATCAACTCACTGCTCCAATCATGATTCTGAAGATGAGCCACCTGTAGCCCCACAGGGTGACCCAGGGGGTGGGGGTGCGTCGGGGGTACTGGCGCAGGCTGAGCAAGGGACACATGAAGATGGCCAGGAAGCCAGTCTCAAGGAGCTGAGATTCCCAACCTGACCCAGGGAGGAAACACAAACATCTATGATTCAGCGTGGCAGGCAAAATTCTGTGACACGGGAGGGGGGGGGGGGGGGGGGGGTCAACACCACCACATTACACTAGGGGGTGTTGTTCATGATAAAGAGCTACATCTTATGTATACCCGGTACTTGCGTAACCTTACATCAAGATGGAACATTTAAAGCTTCTTTAAAAATAATCCCGGTTTTTCAGTGCCATTGAATACATTCTGGTTGTTGGGAAGTTCGAAAAATACCTCAAATCCACATTTTTTGTTTCTCATGTCAAGAAAGTGGGGGGGGGGGGGATGATCCAATAGCCCATCCCCCTTTTTCAAAAAGTGGGGAGGATATATAACCCCTTTTCCCCCTCCCCCGGGATTTAAGCCCCTGACGACATTCTTGTTGGTTTTCAAGATCATATAAAAACTTGTTGGGCGAGTGTGCCTCACCTAAAAGTGGAGTTTCATTCTTTTATAGGAACGGGGCCCGTAACTGCACAATCACCCAGTCAACTACTTGTGGTATGTTTTGATCAAATCTCCTGTAAGTGGCGTGTTCACAGAAATTTCTGTCAAGTTTCCAGTGTCTGATTATATTAGTATTCTGAGCTACCGGTATGGTCACTGCTATGCAAGGATATCCCCTATTGAGAATGGGTCAATTGCACCAAGGGTCTAATGCAAAAATAGCAGTCACTCATGCTTGTGTCCCTGAGCAACAGACTTGACTGCAATCGCAAAGAGAGTTTATAATTCACTTCTCCTTTCAGCTTTTACTGTCTGTATATGAAGATTCATTTAGAAAAATGTGATGTATCCATTTGAAAAATGGGAAATCTCGTTGATTTTGAAATAAAAACAGTGTCACAGTTTTCTTCTAAACTTAACTTTTCGCCTTAGTAACTTATTCAGTTGTATTTAACTACATTAAACCTGTCGACAGGTTTTGGGGTGCCAGGGGTGGGTGGGATTCTAAAAGGCAATAAAATGACGTTTATCGCAGTTTTGAAATAAACTCTTCATATGTTTAAATGTAAAAGGGTACTTAGGCCTAATTGGTATTTGAAATGGTTCATGACAGAAATTTGAATTCAAATGAATAAGAGATTAAAAATTATTCGATTGTCTTTTTTCTTTTTGATGCCCCAAAAGGTACCAAGCTCTGTTATCAGTGTACAATATGTTACTACCTTTTGAAAATAGTTTAACAGCATTCGCGGGGAAATCCTGAAATCTTACCGAATGAATACCTGAAAAATAAAAAAATAAAAACAAATGAAACATATAAAATTTGCATAAAAATGAAAAATATAATATTTGCATGAAAATATAAAAGTTACAAAATTAATTATTTGATCTCTTCAAACAATTTAAATATCACAAAATAACACTTCCAAACTTTGTCAACCCTGGCTGGATGTAATAAGGCAAAGTAAAAAAAAAAAAACGGTTAAAGCAAATGCATCTAAAACTGTTCATTGTAGACCAATGCAACTCTAAATGACACTGTAAATATGTTCAGTTCTCTTGTCCAACTTGTCTTTCATTTTAAAAGTGTCTTTGAATAGTGGAAACGCCAACGGTTGCAGGAAATTTTTAAATGGCGGCCATCTTGAAAAAAATAAACAATAAAAAATACAAGCCCCTCTTCCTCCTTTTTGTCAAAAACCCGGACGAGAAACATGTTTGTTTTTTTATTCGGCCTAAACTCCATTTGCAAACATCCAAAAATGAAACTGTCAAAATATCATGATATATCCTACTTGGCTGTATAAATATATGTAAACAATGCATCCTGTGAAATCATTGTTATCAGTATGCTGTCGTTTTTGAGAAAGGAGGAATTACCATCATTCAATGCTATGGTTAGGACCATTTCCAACGGAAACCGATGCTTTGCGATGAGAAAAATGAAGATGCATTTTCACATTTTCCTCCAAAAGCATAAAATCTACTGAACTGAAATTTCAACAGGTTGTTTCTTATGAAAACCTGCTTCAGATTTATTGTATTGTTGTTCTCGGAATCGCCAATAACACAATTTTTGCAAATGGTGTCAATTACCTTCAATGCTAAAAATTAATGCCAAATGAATTTTGATTGGTAAAGAATGAAGTACTTGGTGAATTAAAATATGTACTCAAAATATTGAAAGATAAAAAAAATTAAAAACAATTTGCACATCTCATGGTAATATTTCGATAAATACCAAAATTGCAGCTTCACATCTTTGGATTTTTAAAATTAAATTTTGGAACTTGGTCTTTACCATCTCTGTCCGACGCTGACCAGGGAGTGATAAAGGAGCCACAGCATCACCATGACGACCATGTTAGCACTTCCGAGTACGAGTACGAATCCAGACAGTGCAACACCAGCATACGCCAATGCGTCCAGCCAGTAATCAACAGCGCCCTCAACGTCCACGAACCACAGAATGGTCGGAGCGAAGGAGAGGGCTTGGACATTGACTTCCCCGCCGACATAGTTCTTGATGCGGTCGAGGTAGAGACGTGTCGGAAGGAGTCCATCTCGGCCCATGAGCTGCTTGTTTTGGTGCAAGGCAACGAGGAATGCAGTAACTTCATGCAGTAAAAAGGAAGAACGGGGGCTTTGATTTTAAATCTTGAATTGGGAAATGTTACAATGGCTAAATGAATGGTACAGAGAATGTTCATCTTATGTAAAATTCAAAAGTGCCCAAGTATCGCTGTTTCAAAAATTTTCATTCCCCGCTGGCAACATTTCTATTTTCTAAGGTTTTTTCCCCATCCCCCCAAAAAAGAATATTTTTCTTTTATTATTTTAACATGTCTCAAACATTTTATTGCAGAGTATTACATTTTCTTTTTCAGATTTTGGTTCCGGAGGATTTTTTTTTTTAAGGGACAAATAGCCTATACTGTCTTTAGTCCAAAATTGTAAAATGGTCTGATTCCCATCTTGTGAATACGAAGTTACAACGATAATGTTTGCATGGAGCCAGACTAAAATTTGTCACCGGAAAATGTCTAAGTACCAGGGATGTGATTGGTCTTTGACAAAAAAACCTGAAAACTTTATGCATGAAGTGCAAACTCCGGCGAGCGCGAAGCGCAAAGCCATTATGGCGTGGGGTCCGGGGCCCGCTTAAGGGCCCCGAAAAATTTTTGATTTTAGATGCTCTGTGGTGCAATCTGAGGCAATTACTGGGCACTTTCCTCTGAAATTCTGAAGCAGAAATTGTTTTAATTTTATGAAGAATTTTCCTTTATTTGTTAAAATGTACTCTTGTTCTAATAAAGTTTTTTCTGTACTCAAAGTTGAGAACCATGCTGTTCTCCCCAGGATTTTTTTCAAACCTGTGGGGGAATTTTTGTTGTGATACAACCATGGAGGAAGGAATTAACATGATACAACCACCTGCAAAGCCACGGCGTGGGTTCGGGGCCCGCTTAAGGGCCCCGAAAAATTTTGAACTTTAGAAGCTTTCTGGTGCATTTTAGAGCATTTCAGAGGAGATCTTGTAATATTTTTGTAAAAAAAAAAATCAAAATTGTAAACTTAAATCACTTCTGCTTCCGATAACATGCCTTTCAAAATAGCGTCGGTAGTATTGTTCGAAAAAAAATATTTCACCATTTCTATAATTTGTAGTAAAGCAAGGAATCGTTTATATTTCATGTATTTTGTGCCTGGATTATTCTCATTTGCGCCACGAAAATTATCAAGACTAGCCATCAAAAGTGATTAAAACTTGCCTCACCTAATAAAAAATATATTTGAGGTGGGTCATTCCACAATTATGCTTAACGTACATCACGGCCGCTAGCGCCGCAAACATTCAGTCTGGCCGGCCGTACATCGCGCCGTACACACGGCCTGCCCGGCGCAGTATCACTATCAGTGTGCATTGCTGCACGGCCCATCCCACGTGGCCGAAAATTCTGCAGGACTGCAGAAACACGCTACGATGTTTCTCCACAGGTTCGAGTTTTGCAATCTCATCATTTCAATGGAAAATACATACACAGAAAATGAAGATCACGTTCTGTGAATTAATTTGCAGAAATCCTCTTTTTCCATCGATGGTTGTTTGGTATTGTTACTATTTTTACGATCCAACTTCGGCCGATTACGCACGGAAAACGAACCTGTGAGTACTTGCAGTAGTCACTGGTTCCGGTCCTTCATCATAGCATTGATTCTGTTAGCACGCGAAGGGTACCATGGGTGTACCATGCTGCACTCGTCTGCACACCTGACCAGCGCAACACGTGCATCTCAAGTACCGACACAGGAACTAGACCTACATAACTACAACCTCGGCCCAGAGCGAAAAATCACATAATCTTACTAATGGCAATGCTTGGTCTTCAACTTCGTTCTCACATTGGGTGTTCAATATGTGCGTGCGGCATACATATATCGATCAACGAAGTTTATGTCCGTAAGTAAATTTCGGATATTTCGGCAAGCAAAACTCATTATGAATAATTAATTAGCACATTTTACCCCCCTATTTTCTCAACGGATTCACATGATTCACGTTGGTGGACTTTTGAGGCCCAAAAAACCAGATTTCCGGAAAAAAATGGAGAAATCACATCCCTGAAGTACCAAAAAACCCAGTAACTCTGCATGTTCAGTGCATATCCAGCAAGCTAAACATTTGGTTTGCGGTCTCCGGCTAAATATCCACTGCCAAAAAAAGTAAGGAAAATAAAACACTAAAAAAAGTTAATTGCAATGCAAAGATAACGTAAGCCCGCCTACACCGATGTTTGCACGGTTCCCAGACTGCGCTATACGTACTATTGCATTTATAGCAAATTAGAAGGGTGCCCTGACTCACGATAAATAAACGCGAGTGATCGTAGAAAAACGATGCGAGTTAACCAGTACGAGTTAGGCTCCAAATCCACACTCTGTCCACGATCTTTGGACGCATTTGGTCCATCAGTGTCCGAATGGTCCTTTGGTCTCGAGTCGGGCTCTGTAACTTCACCACCGGAGGACCCAGCAGGTTGTTTTCTCTTACGAATTCCAGATGTTTCGTGGTCCATGGCGGCTGCCATCTTTGATTGATCCGATGGTTGACACGTGAGGGCGCACTTTATTGTGTACGTGAGAAACGGGGTGTTGGCACACGTGAGCAGACGACATCGACGTAGGAAACTAAAATTCATTTGTTTACACAAATGCAATAAACGATAAGTGATAGGCCTGCTGCCGTGCTGCAGAGCTGGTTGGATAAATCTTAAAGGGTTGGCTTCGAATGCGGAACACAAGTCTGTGGGCCTAGCTGAAGCTTTGACTTGAGATGGATGTAGCGCCGCTACAGAATCAGGATGTCGAAAAACTGAATTGCAAGGTTTGGTTCCTTGTCTTCGTGACTACGCTGTGTCACCCAAATTAGGCTTTATGAATGAAAACCCACTGGTAAGACCAACTTTGACGATATTGTGTAGCCATGGTAGCAAATCTTTCCTCCATGTGTAATTTGCTAAAACTTTGTATCTATTTCTGTCATGATGTAGGGGCTTATTCTGTATTCATACTCGCTTATTTGTTTTTTTGGTACAGTCGTTTTCCTAGTTCCGGATTTTTCCTAGTTCCGGATCGCTTCAAATAAAAACCTACCTCTTTTGGATTAGTCTCCAATAAAACAAATTCTGACGGAGTGCATTTTGAAAAGGAATATGTAAGCTTCTTGATACCCAAAGATCGTTTTCGATAAAATCCTTAGAAAAGGAATTTTGGCCAGATTTCCGACTCGCACTTCAACATGTTTGGACGGTTTAAAGAAAATCACGGCAGCTGCGAATCGACGATAAATTTTCACCTAGGTGTATCGCTCGTACCGTGTGGTTTCGAATATTTTTTCCATTCACTACAATCGTATAAACTCTTCCATCGAATGTTTGTTCAATCAAAATAAGTTGTAGCGTCTCTAATATTTGAAAATTTGCAAACGAATGACCGTATGCTTTTGCCTAGTTCCGGATCGCGCGTGCACTTACGACCCAACTACACGCGCGTTAATCGATTTTGTGTGACGTATTCTGTGCCGTGTGCAAGGTTTTCGGTCCGTGCGTGAGTTCGTGCCGTTGCGCTGCAGACAAAAGTTTCAACATTATTTACGTTAATTCTCTTTTGAAAATTTGCTGGAATTCTCTTCAATTAACTATTTTTGGAAAATTAAATAATACTTTATCAGAAAATGTGCTTGATTTGGGGTGGTTCTGGCTGAAAACTTGATTTTCTCGCGTGATTTTTTTTTTGCGCGAATCAGTTTTTGATCGATTCGGAACTGATTGAACCGATCCGGAACTAGGAAAAGCGGCATCGGGACTTTTGACGTCGTAAAGTCACAATAAAAAGAGCTTAAATTTTTAAAATTATTTTGTAGTATCTCCATCACTCAAGGTAAACTTTTAAACCAATGTCACTTGAATTCGTGGAGTAGTTGAGCCGAAAGCAGCCTGAATGATGTTTGCTATCCGGAACTAGGAAAATGACTGTAGTCCGAGTAACTTGGACCCAATTTATCGCCTTTTTTAACATTTGGACATGGTCTGGCGATAGTCAGACCATGTCCTAGCTCTACTGAGTGGAGCGCTGAATTACGGGTACCCCTCCATACTAGTATGGAGGGGTACCCGTAATTCAGCGCTCCACTCAGTAGAGCTAACCATGTCCAAATGTTAAAAAAGGCGATAAGTTGGGTCCAAGTTACTCGGACTAGTTTTTTGGTACCTACTCTAACCGTAAATGTGGCGTCAATTACAACGCCACTTCCAGCATGTCCAGAGTCGTGTAAAAACGCTCAAAATATTTACGAGACACGTCATTTCTCCAGTATTTAAATTACTTACAAATGAAGCTTTCACTTTCAGTAAATTTACGCGAGCGTAGGATCTGGCCCATAATAATTTAAGCCACCAAATGGAAGAAATAAATTAAATGAGAAATCTGATCTCCTATTAAATTGATTAATAAATTTTTTTTTTTTTCGGACATGCAACTTTTCCTCAGATCAGTTGATTTCCTTTGTTTTTCATTTCACACTTATGCCATTAAAAATTGAAGAACATTGTACAAAGTCTTGTAAAACTTGGACATTCCTCTCTTGTGTTGGTTACATTTCAGTTCATTTCTGAATTTTATATGTCATCACTTTTTTTGTCTTAAAATTCTCCCAATTAGCGGAAACTCCCAGATTACTTTGATCCATGGTGGAAAATAGCCACAAGACTTCCGCAACTTGTTGAAGACGGGACGCTCCGAGATGAAGTTCACAAGGTAATCCAACTTATAATAATTCCAGGAATCTCTGTGTGTCTCTGTGTCTCTGTGTCGTTTATCTCCAGAAATGGGCACTGTATGAAGTTGAAAATCAGCAGGTGTATTGCTCAGCACTCCAGAATGTGCAGTGTCAAGTTTGAAGTTGTTTGGATGAGCGGTTCTTAAAGAAGCTGCTAAAAAAAGCAGTATGTTTGGAGGCCTTCTCCATACAAAGTAACAGACCGTGCCATGCATGGCTGCACATTTTGAATGGGCGCTGCACTGTACGCCACCCCACGGGTACGGGTAAACATGGTTAAAACATGTGCAATTGGTGGTTGGCTGTATGGGCTCGACCATTTCTTGAAGGGGGAAGAAATCCCTCAAAGTGGGTTGAAATCCCTCAAATGTCAAACAAAAATGTGAAATTTACCAGAATTTCGTTCACCAGGGTCACTGGAGTCTCGCACTTGGCCGTCTCTTGCTGTCAACTGAGGGTGCTTTAATTCTCTTGACCAACTACAGCGCGGCTTTCATTCCGAGAGTGTTTCCGTGCCTCGCGCGATGAAATGAAAGCGACGCTGTAGTTGGTCCAGAGAATGAAAGCGCCCTCGGTCGACTGCAAACGATGAGAGACAGCCGAGTGCGAGACTCCTGTAATCCTGGTGAACGAAATTCTGGTAAATTTCCCATTTTTGTTTGACATTTGAGGGATTTCAACCCACCCTAGAGGTACCTATCCACATCAAGATAATACTTGTGAAATGTTGAGGCTGAACATTTCGTGACGGGAGAGTTTGGAGGTTTGAAAAATTTGAGAATTTTCTGCTACAGCAACTTCAATTGGTCTTTTTGTAAGAATTGTAAAAACCTTACAGTTCTGGAAGTAATTTGTAAACAGTGCGCCCTCCTATTGTGTCTGCCATTTATCTCCAAAAAGTCTCCTTTATTTCCCTATTAAGATTTGGGAAGGCTTTTAGCAAAAAAATTCTTGGGAGCAAAGTTGTAATTTTTTAGAAATAAATGGATTTGTGGGTTAGTATTTTACAGCAAATATTGTTACACTGACTTGTTTGAAGTTTTGTGTTCGCAGATGCTGGAAAAACCAAGAAAAACAATCATGTTCCTGTAGTCTGGTCTCCCTGACCCCACTTAAGATGAAACAGAACAATTTATATACGTCAGGGAATTGTAAGTGCAGGGAACCAGTCTAGCTGGCTTGTACCCGTTCATAGGTGTATAATCGATTGCAAGCAAAATGCGGACTAAATAAATATGGTAAATTGGGGCAGTATTTGAAAAAGGCCAGTTTTTCCAACGCTGGTCGGCCGACCAGCGTTGGAAATTCATACCACTTTGCTTGATAATGACAGCACACCAGGTGCCATGATTTTACAGGATGCTTAAGACTGTCAATAATAGGCCAGTAAGGTATTCCATAATAGTTTGGTAGTTTTGTTTTTTGATGTTTGCAGATGTTGTATATATTCCCTTTAAGAGTTGACAATTACACGTTGCCAATTTCCATTGCACTTACAAGTATTTTTCTTGGTGCATGTAGATGCCATTTCTGGATTACCGGCAACTGAACGGCGAGCCAGAATGGCGTCTTGCTCACCGTGTGCTTGGTTTCACAACACAGTGTTACGTCTGGACGGCTGGAGAAAAACACATTCCTCAGGTCAGTAGCAGTCATGGCAGTGTGATAGTCGAGGCACTTGCGATAGATCACAAGACATCACAAACCAATCACAACCAAAGAGCTATATTCAATTACTAGAGCGCTAACGCCTTATTCCCGGAGATACTTTGACGCCATCCTGCGCGCAGACATTTTTAATTCATGTGCGTGTTCGTAGAACATCATTATGAAATAAGATGGAATGAATTTTAAATCTTGTACTCTAAATGCAACGCGCAAATACAACACACGGAAACTACGTAAGCATGTTTTCTACGCAAAACTCACCTGCAGCACGAATATGCGGGCTTTCGTTTGCGTTTTTCGTTGTTTGCGCAGAGCAAAATGAAACGCTCATGTGCTGATCATGCGTTTTCGGGTACATTCTTTGAAACCCTCAGGATCACTAATGGATACCCCAAGAAGTTCAAAACCACTTGATGCCCTTTTTTTTTTCTGACCCTTTTATGGGCGGGGCCATGACTTTAAAAAGTGGGGGCTTGGTGCGCAAAAAAATGACTTCGATAATTTCACTTTCTTTTTAGCATTTGGACAGCTCACCCAAGTGCTACATCACAAGAAAAAAAAAATTCCAGAATTTTGCCTCTTCGGGGGTGGGGCCACATTTTATAAAAGCGGGGGCAAATTTCAGTAACAGAAAAGCGAGCTTTAAAGGGAATATACAACATTTGCAAACATCGAAAAAAAAAACTACCAAGTTTTTGCGAAATACCTTAATAGGATGTTGGTAAATGACAGCCTGAAGCATCCTGTAAAATTATGGCACCTGGTATACTGTCATTTTCAAGAAAAGTGGTATTTTTGTATCAATTTCCAACGCTGATCGGCCGATCAGCGTTGGAAACAACTGGCTTTTTTTCAAATACTGGCCCCAATTGACCATTGCACTTGTTTGCAATCGATTACAAACCTATGAACGGGTACGAGCCAGCTAGACTGGTTCCCTGACCTTACAATTCCCCAATGTATGTAAACTGCTCTGTTTCTTCTTATATGGAGTCAGGGAACCAGACTACAGGAAAATGATCGTTTTTCTTGGTTTTTATAGCATTTTCGAACCCAAAACCTCCAAAAAGTCAGTGCAACTATATTTGCTTTATATTTCCAACCCCCCAATTCCATCCATTTCTGAAAATTACAGCAAAAGCAAATGATGTATATTCCCTTTAAAGGAAACTCTTTTGATTTATTTTTGTTTCCATTCAGTACAGTAAACCGGGTGGACAGAATGTTTGATTGTCAAATCATTAAAAAAAAGTTCCCCTTTGGGGGTGTCGCACTTTTTCCATAAAAAGGGGGCATATTCCAAAAGTGGGCTTGCGGAAGCCCATATGCATTTCAGGTATACATGTACATTCTTTGAAACTCTCAGGATCACCTATGGACACCTCAAAAAGTCTATTTACAAAGGGTAAAGCATGAATGGCTTTTTATTAAAACGAAAATACACTGGAATTGGCGTAAAGCATGACTAGTGTAAATGTCAGTCGGTCCCATTCCTATTAGGTTGGGGATGTGTGTAGCAGCAGCATGAACTTTGCTATTTGTTAAGGTTCAGTACAGAATGCTAGCAACGTCAATGGAACTTTAAAATGAAAAAAATAAAACCTTCAGGGGAATGATCGAATAAAAAGTGCCTACAATTCCTGGGAGGCAGAAACAACATTGCCACCATTGTCATGGCCGAGGTACATTGCTTTTGGGTCAAGCATCCACAATGGCATAACTCCACTGGTGCCACAATGTTGTTCAAGTTCAAAATATCATGGACATGTCCTGATTTTAGATAGTTTGAGAGAAATTTCGATTTTGCACTGCCTGAAGATGTAGAAAAACACATCCTCTGTATTGTTTATGCATATTCGTTTTAATACCAGTATACTGCGTCATCAAACCGGAAGTTAGATGTTTCATACACAAAACATTATTATTTCAATATTTTTAGAAGTTCTTTTCCTTTCATGACAAACACATGAACTACATGTAAACCAATATATCATTTGTAACTGCTGATGTCATCCAACCTGACATAACATGAACAAGTAAATATAATGTATATTGAAACTCATGGCGGCTGTGGGATTAAATAATGTCTATGCTCCGTATACATGTATATGGAATTCGGCCGATTCACAATGCAGTGCGCCACCAAGAGTTTGCCACGGAGAGTTCGTTTTTCAAGGTCACTGTCGGCAAAACATGGCCCATTTGAACGAGTGTCAGTAGAAAACTTGAGCTAATTTGTTATAGATTAGGGCAAAGCGTTCTGCCGCCTTACAAAAACTCCATATTGATAAAACGAAAAGAAAAGGGCAAACAGATACTCGAATCATACGCTTACGAACTTTCTGGCTGGAAAAACTAACAATTTCAAATGTCCCGCGCTGCGAATTTGTCGACCATCTCCCACAATGCACTGGGAAAAATGAACTCTCTGTGGCAAACTCTTGGTGGCGCATTGCATTGTGAATCGCCTGAATTCACTCTCCCTTGTGTTATTCGCACAATTTCTGTCACAGACTCTCCCAAAGAATCTGGCTGTCCCATACTGGGAGGTCTCCAAACTTCTTGGTATTACGCCAAGCTTGTGCCAGCTCATTGCCGCGCTGGATAACTGGGTGCTTGTCGACCCTGAAGGCCCCGTAGCCTTAGAGTGAGTCATTATTAAATCCAAAATGATTTATTGATTTTTCTTATTGATTTTGAGTTTGACTGATCCATTCGTCATTGAATTTTAAAAAAACACCTCAATTTATCGATTGATTCTCACCGACACCACAAACTGACACTCGGTGGTGTGTGAGTGCGCGGGACGCGCGTGTACAATTTTGGTTTTCACGAACTGACACTCAAGCACCACATGCCTCATCACCCCATACATATTCGTTTTCAAGAACTGAAACTCGTCTTATTTTCACCATTAATTAACAATCCCCATCCAGTCAAATTCTAACGTTTGTTGGAATCTGTTGGAGTGAGTACTGCACTAGTAAACTGATTATGCTTTTACACAGGGTTAAGGCATACCACAAAAACAGTTTACCATATGGTGTCGGAATTTGCAAGGATGAGGAAGGTTCCTAGTGGTGTTAGAGTTTACATTTTTCTGTAACCCCACAAGTTCATGGATGGAGTAAATTCATGAGAAAAGCTTTCTAAGCATATTTCTCCGAATTGTATTTCTGCCAGATGCTTGCATTTCAGCTTGGGAAAACCAAAATCATTCTATTGCACGTCAGTGTTCTTTTTAAATCAAATGCAGTTACATAAAACGAATATTGAGTGGCATTAAATTGTGAAATGGGAGGAATATTATCACTCGGCAAAATCTGGACTTTTCCATTTCACTCGGCTTCGCCTCGTAAAATAGAAAAGGCGAGATTTTACCTTGCGAAAATATGATAATATTCCTCCCATTCCACTCTGAGCCACTCCAATATTTGTATTTACATAGTGAACCCCATGCATCCAAGGGCGGATCCAGAACACAATTTGGGGGGGGGCTAAAAAAAATTTTGGTTCCCCCCAAAAGTGGGTCAAAAAAATTACGGCGTGGGGTTCGGGGCCCGCTTAAGGGCCCCGAAAAAATTTTGGATTCTAGATGTTCTGTGGTGTGATCTGAGGCGATTTCTGACCACTTTAACCAATGTTTTTTTTGAGGAAAAGATGGTGGTGTACTCATTGCCTGCCTTTATTGCGATGTCAAAAAGTGGGTCAAAAAAATTACGGCGTGGGGTTCGGGGCCCGCTTAAGGGCCCCGAAAATTTTTTGGATTCTAGATGCTCTGTGGTGCGATCTGAGGCAATTTCTGACCACTTTAACCAATGTGTTTTTTTTGAGGAAAAGATGGTGGTGTACTCATTGCCTGCCGTTATTGCGATGTCACATAAAAAAAAAAAAAATTGATTTCGTTTTGGGGGGGGGCCATGGCCCCCTTTGGCCCCCCCCCCCCCTGGATCCGCCCTTGCATGCATCCAGTGTGACCTTGTTTTATCAGGGGGGAGAATCAGTAAGAGACCTATGTGTTATAAATAAAGACATTGACCCGTTGATTTGATTTGATTTGATTTGATTTCAGTAATTTGAGGACCGTCCTCAATATGGTGGGTGGAGATGACGAGTCGTGGTTCTTCATGGTGAGTGGTCAGATCGAGATGGACTGTGGGGCTGCATTGTGCGGCATCGTTGAAGCTCAACAGGTAAGAAGGTTTATCCCCAAAAGGGATTAAGCTTAAAGGGATTAACAGGGCCTGAAATTGGGCTTAAAGCCCTCCGCAAACAAGAGCTACGTTCTGAGCAAAAAGTCTTTCGAGGCCGTTTGCTCAGCATGTAGATAACACAATATCCCCTTGTGCTGTGAATTTTTTGCCGAATTTTCTGCCTCGCGAGGCCGTGAGGCAAATATCTATCCTGTTTGATTTATTTCGCTTTGCGAGGCGAAGAACTCACCGTGTGCGGTCAGCCTGAGCTGCATGTTGAGCTAAAATGATTGACAAGCCAATGAAAGCAAGTTCTCTTTACACCTGATTTTAAGATATTTCTGTGCAAATCTAGAAAGCCTGCTGGGGTTTGTCCCCATTTTTAAATCACGTGACCGACAAACAAGAATAATGTGCTTTCATTGGCTAGTCAATCTTTTTGGCTCAGCACGTAGCTCAGGTTGACCGCGCACGGTGAGTTCTTCGCCTCGCAAGACGAAATCAATCAATCAGGATAATTCTTTGCCTCACGGCCCCGCGAGGCAGAAAAGTCGGCAAAAATTGACCACGCACGGTGATATTGTGTTAGCTACGTGCTGAGCAAACGCCCATGAATGACTTTTTGCTTAGCTCTTGTGTTTCAACACAAGAGCTCTAAAACTAATTGACCAAATATTGAAATAAATTCACAGAAACATAAATCTTTAATTAATACTTTTAATTACCCTGTCTGTATTTCAAATTTAAAGCTATAGTCCATTATTTGCAGCCATCTGAAAAGTAACTGGCGTAATTATTGTTGAAAAACATACTTGGTTGAAAGATAGTAAGGGGACTAAACTCCCTGTGAAATTATTCTTTCTGGCAAGCTGTCATTTTGAAGTAATCAACGAAAGAAGGCATTTCCAACGGTGATTCTTAAGAAGCACCGTAGGAAAATTTAAATTAGTAGTTCGTTTTGTTATTCAGCGCAGCGCGCACAAGTATTGGAACGACGCACACGCGCGCGCGCGGTTGTTATAATTCGTCGGATCAGTGCGCGACGTCGCGTATAGCTGTAATTCAAAACAATTCAAAACATGATTCAGTAACTTTTGATTTGAAATTGAGATCTTAGAATGCTGTTTTTCTCGGAATGTACAGCTGAAGCTTAGCTGAAACTTCATCAGGTTAGTTGCTCAGTATCCTTCATTAGATTTTGAACTCTTTTGTTGCTTCAAACGAACAAAATGCACAAATTACAAATGATGGACTATAGCTTTAATACACCATAGAAGTGATGTTTCCAAACACATATGGCCGTACGTAGCGATAGAAATAGTGCCTGCTTTTTCATCAATTTTTCATTTGTCGAAAAAGGAAATATCGGCATTCTTCACGTTCTGAGCAATGAAATACAGTTCGCTACAAAGTACTGAACTATTTTTAGTCTTATTTATTCTCAATTTCTGAGAAATTTCAACTTGAAAAATGTTTACTTAAAATGCCCATGCAAATCCTATGGTAAAAACGGCAGACCAGACATTGTTTGAACAGATGGCTATGGGAGATGACCCCGCATGACGTCACACTTCTACGGCGTATAGCCCCTGTACCTTCATTCAACATTATTAAACACAGCGGTTTGCTTGAATCTAAACTCAAATAGGGACATTGCAGCATTGATGTGAAAAACCTCAAATTCAATATGGTGAGTTGCGTCAGCTTGTATCTCCCACACATGTACTGTAGGTACATGTATGCTCAGTGTACATATTTACATACATGTGGTTGCTATGTACCAGTACAATTTTTATTCATACATTGTCATATGCACAAGCCTATGTAGTGTACCATGTACAAACAGTAATCTCTATGGATGACAATGGACCGATCCAGTAAGCCCAGCCCACTGCGCACTGGGCAAATTAACACGTGCTCCTCTCCAATGCCAGACTGCATCTTCCTACCGCGCTCATCATACACGCGTGCACGCATGTCAGACTTTTGTGCACGCACGTCGGACATAAATCACGACTGTGATTGGTCAGAACACCACGGGGCGGTGCTTACTGGATCGGTCCATTACATGGCTAGCCAAATCACCTTGACGGGTTTCCAAAAGAATTGTTTTGGTTCCCGTGCGTGGTTCATGATTCGGAGCGAGCTGTGTCGGAATTGACTGCGGCTTGCCATAACTGGATTGGGCGGCTGCCATAGGTACATGTGTAATTGCCAGCCGTCATTCTGGGTCGTAATGAAAATCAAACCACTGTACAGGTGCGCGCAGTGCATCAGTGTATTTAAAACCGCGAATGGGCATGAGTGGGACCGGACGTACATCTACTGTGCCGACAGTGATTGTGTAACTTGCGGTACGAGATTCTGGCGAAAAAGTGACGTAGAATTTTTCATCGGCAGTACAGTGTGAAATCAAGGGAAAGTGTGGCCTAGTGGTTACAGGGTTCGTTACTCATGATCAGAGGCTCAGGGGTTCGAATCCAGCTGCTGGCCATAGGTTGTGTCCTTGGGCAAGCCAAGATTCTGGCGAAAAAGTGACATAGAATTTTTCATCGGCATACAGTGTGAAATCAAGGGAAAGTGTGGCCTAGTGGTTACAGGGTTCGTGACTCATGATCAGAGGGTCAGGGGTTCGAATCCAGCTGCTGGCCATAGGTTGTGTCCTTGGGCAAGCCAAGATTCTGGCGAAAAAGTGACATAGAATTTTTCATCGGCAGTACAGTTTGAAATCAAGGGAAAGTGTGGCCTAGTGGTTACAGGGTTCGTGACTCATGATCAGAGGCTCAGGGGTTCGAATCCAGCTGCTGGCCATAGGTTGTGTCCTTGGGCAAGCCAAAATTCTGGCGAAAAAGTGACATAGAATTTTTCATCGGCATACAGTGTGAAATCAAGGGAAAGTGTGGCCTAGTGGTTACAGGGTTCGTGACTCATGATCAGAGGGTCAGGGGTTCGAATCCAGCTGCTGGCCATAGGTTGTGTCCTTGGGCAAGCCACTTCATCCCCACTTGATTCTCTCCACCCAGGAGTGTAAGTGTGTACCAGCATTAGCTGGGGAGTAACCTGCGATGGACTAGCATCCCATCCAGGGGGAATAGAAATATGCTCAGTTGTTTCATGCCACTGAAACCGGAGATAAACGTTGGCCTGAAGGGCCACATTGCTTTGGGGCAGACTTTTCTTCTACAGCGTGAAACCGTGGGGGAATTCCTCCATGGTGAAACCAAAACAGGCACAGGTGGTTCCTCTCGACATCAGAGTAGTGTAATGAACTGTTGCGGTCAAGGACTTAACTTATTTTACGCGAGTGGGCTAGCTTGGCTGAACAATCTCGGGAGGATGACAACACTAAAGTAAAGCTGCGGAATTGAAGTCAAAGAAAGAAATAAACAAGGAGACGGGCTGATGATTCATTGATCAAAAGGTTATGGTCATGTTCCATCCACAACAAATAAATCAGTTCACAACTAAACTGTTTTAAGCTAGGCTAACTTACACAGAGAATGAATAATGGCGATGTAGACGATAGTAACGTTATAAATTTTGATGTTGCTTCATTGACGGCCAAACTCAATTTGCCAAATTTTCGGCGGGAGCCTAATATTTGGCCAATTTGCAGTATGTGCGCACAAGGTCCCTGGGGATCCAGGGTCGGGCACGCACAGCGCATCGTGCACTACGCGATGCTGTTTGACCAACTCACGTGCTGGACAGCGCCTTCAGTGGCCAAACCGTCACAGTATAAGTTTAGCCACCTGCTCCTGCTTATTTCGATCCCTGGATTAGGTTGGCTAATGCATATTAACCCTTTAAAGTGACTACCTCTTCCAGAGAAAATGGGAAGAACGTTTCTGTAAAGCGACTATAAGGCCAAAAAAAAAAGTCTCCGGTATCTGGTATGCGCGCGCGTTGCCGTAGCCATGCACGTCGGCAAAATGAAAAAGGTTTTTTTTCAATGAAAGATGATGTCTCAAAACCGCCAAACTCACTGGTTTGACTGGAATCCTGCTGCCGCACAATTTTAACGTGTTTTTAGATTGGGTTATGGTCGAGAATAAGCTTTATGTGGCCGCTACATGGACTCCCATATATTTGCACTAAGTTTAGTCGGGCACCATTTGCAGTCATCAGCCGACATTTGAAGCAAAAAAATCAGGTAAAAAAAAAAAAAGCCGCGTCGCCGCACCACTTTTTGGGCAAGTTCCATACCAGAAACCGGACACATTTTTTATTTTGGCCTAAACTATAAGTTAAAAAGAAAAATTGGGAAGACCGTTCCGGTAAAGTGACTTACCACATTACATGACAACAAAATTAATACTTGGTGGTTTGGGGGTTTTTCTATTTTGTTTTTTTTGCTCTCCTGAATAGGCTGTTAAAGATCTGGATGTCAACACGTACATAGCAGCACTGGAGAAGGTAGAGAAAGCCGTCAGGAAAATGAAAGAAACTCTGAGCAGAATGAGAGGTATGTCACTACTATGTCACTACTTGTGAAAGTGTTTGTACCATTTTTGAAATTAGTCACTCGCATTGTTGTGTGTGTTATATTTGAATGCGGCTTGGTTTATTTCTTAATATTAATTTGCTGGTCTCAGACGGGAAAGCCTATGGTCCTCTTTATTCCTGACTGTCTCACTGACTAGGCCCTTTCTAGATGCCGTGCTACTGCCGCGCCGAACTTAATTAAAATGAGTGCGGCAATAGCTCGTCTACAGCACGGCAGTTACTCTAAACGTCAAACGTAATAGTCAAACCTTAATGCATCTGGAGGAACTGGCCAGGTTAAAGCAGTTCAAGCAGTTCAGCGAACATTTAGCGCGATCAAAATATTCACGCCAATTTCACTCCGCGTGATGCAGACGCGAAAGAGGGTATTGTGAGCATGCGCATTCCTAAAATGTTTGCCCCAACTTCGAATTGAGTCGAGTTCGGCACGACAATGGCACGGCGTTTAGAACAGTTCAGCAGTGTGTGTTGCGTCATTGTTTTTTTTACTATTGTTTTGTTGCAGAAAGGAGTCGGCCATGGATGTTCTATAATGTTTTACGTCCCTTTGTGGCAGGGTAAGAACATGTCAGAAGAAAGTCGCATTCCAATTTTTAAAATTATCTTAAGTTTGGCTGCCTTTTAGTAGAACATTGACGTTCTCATTCAGTGCTCTTCCTTTTACCACTTTGGATGCATCATTTTTTAATTTTTTTTTTAAGCCATGTTTGGCTCTTAACCCACAGCCTAGTGAGGCAAGTTTATGATCTTTGTTGTATCAACCAATCTGAAGCTAGTGCAGCAATTGAAATTAAAGAAATCAGACACAACAAAGACTTGGAGTCTAACTTTGTGAATCGTGACTCGGACTTGGATTTGACCTGCTTAACTCTGGACTCAGACTTTGGAGAGGTGACTTGGACTAGGACTTGACCTTGGTTACTTTTGACTCGACCTTTGTTACTCGTGACCCGACCTTTGTTACTCATGACTCGACCTTTGTTACTCGTGACTCAGACTCAGACTTGACCAGCATGACTCAGGACTCGGACTTGACCTTTGTGACTCGGGACTCGGATTCGGGAGAGGTAACTCGTGTCTCGGACGCAGACTCGACGTTTGGTGACTGGAACACAAGTCGGACTGTTACCCTGCGCAGCGAAAATGGGCCGTAATAGTGATTGAGTGTCTGTCCACAAGGTGGTCACAGACATCCCGTAACCCAATGCCAGCCTTATGGCCAAACCATGCCGATAACAAAAGGTTGTAGAGCCTCAATCATAAAGACTAAAACTGGTCTTGTTGTAGATGGGACAGCCCAGCATTTAAGGCCAAAGGATGGAAGGGGCTCATCTATGAAGGTGTCAGCCCAGAACCACTTTGTGTAAGTACCATGGAATACATAGTTGCATTGGAAAAGTTTTTGGTATTTTTCAAGGGCCAATGTCTCAAAACTGTCTGAAGTACTTGAAGCAGGAAAATGCACACTAAATTGCCACACAAGAAATCCAACTCTGAAGCTTCTCTGTTGTCTTTCTCTTTTGCTCTGATTGATGTGTGGCCATTACAAATTTGGCTTTGTGTTCTTGAGCAAGATATTTTAATGCAACTGCCTCGCTTCACCAAGGAGCGTAATATAAGCTATCATGGCTATAGTTTAGGGCATCTCAGGTTTTGGACAGGTTAATACCCACAATTACCCACAAGGAAGATAATTTAGTTTGGTATCAAGAACTTGCAAGTCTACCTGGTATATCATAGCATTTAGTCAAGTCCCACGCACCTATACCCGGACCATCCGGACACGTAACGCACTCCGGATGCTGGCACGTAAAAAGGCTAGCACGAGCGGTGAAGCCGCGAGGGCCTTTACTATCTCGTGGAACTAATCACTTATTCACGTAATATAAATCGAGCAATATAAACCAATCATTTAACGGTGGTTTGCGGTTACCAGCAACAGCACCCGCGCCATGGCGCGCGTGTTGTCTGGCGCCAGACGACGGCTGATATACGTTAGTAATTCTGCATTCTTATTGGTCAATTCACAACGGTAATGCATTATGCATGTCTACCAAATCGGTAGACAAATGTAAAGAAAAACATAAGCGTTCTCCGCGCGATGGTAAAGGCCCTCGCGGCTTTGCCGCTCGTGCTAGTCTCTTAACGTGCCAGCATCCGGGGTGCGTCACGTGTGCGGGTAGGCGCGTGGGATTTGACTGAAGGCTAGGTATATCATGGTCCCAACAAATTCTTGGAAAGGGATTATGGTTGATTCAAAACTGCTTTTTGTTCCCCTCCCATTTAGTATGGTGGGGGCAGTGCTGCTCAGAGTGCTACATTGCCCTGTATTGATGCAGGGTTAGGTATCCTCCACCAACCAGAGGAAGGTATGTATGATTTGCATTAATAACGAGCAAACCCGACGCGAAACTGACCAGACCCGAAACCAACCTTGGATCAGATCAGGTGAGTTTTTCGAACATTTCAGACGGGTTTGGTTGGTTTCGGTTTTGCGTTTGCAATTTTTGGGTAAGGTCGGGTTGGGTTTATGCCATGTTGTGAAAACCCAAAAAAAACTGGGGGAAAAAATGAAACAGTTCTGAAATTCACATGGTGCAATATTATTGTAGAGTCAATGTGTCCGGTACGACTAACGTCAACCCACAGTGCGATGGCGACGCAGGTAAGTTCAGGCACAAAAAGCGGACACAGAACAGTTGCCAAAGCCAGGTATTCAGGGCTTTTTTGGGTCGGTTCAGTTTCGGGTCGGGTCGGTTTGCTTTAAAAAAAAAATTTATTGGGTCGGGTTGGTTTGGATTTGGGTAGTTGAGATCGGTTTTGGTTTGGATCGTTTTAGCTTGGTCAACCCAACCTCCAAAAAATCCAAAGACTGAATTTAAAATTTAAATTTTAGGTAAGGTAATGTTTTGGTAAGTATACTCTTACCAATAAAGTTAACCTAAAAGGATATCAAATAGTTTTCATGCACAAAATTTGCTCCTGAGAAAAACTCATTGCATAGACCCTTTAGACCACAAATACAAGAGATCAAATATGAGAAAATGTCACATTTTGGTTCCCAAACCATTTCTTCCTGGCTCCCCTTACTAAAAGACAGGTTTATGACCTGTGCTTCTTAAAATGTCCACTATTTTTCTGTCTTTTTTTGGCAGAGAAAGTCTGTACCAACTTTCAGAGCCAGATGTTGCCCTTGCACCGTGATTTAATCAAAGCATTGGCCGATGGACCCTCAGTTCGGCACTTTGGTAAGCAAATAGTTAAACTGTTTACAGGGCGAGTCAAACAGAAAGAGACCTGGATTAAAGAAGCATGTTCTTCCACGCATCTGAAAAAAGAATTACTGAAATTGATCTGTGCTATCAGAAGTTATGTATGTTTACTAAAAGATCCTATTTTTATAGCTGTCCGTGGAATGCCATTGGAAGCTAGTGATTATTTTCAAAAAGCTTTCTTGGATATTACCAGGTACTTAAATAATACCCCGTGCAATAGGTGTCATATTTGAAGAAATCAAGAAAATGTAGGTGATTTCAAATGATCAGTCAATTGACTGATTTATGGAAATAGAGAGTGCTATTGACAAACTGATGCTTCGTGATCACAAGGTTGTTCATGATTGTTCACATTCTTTCTCGAAAATTGTAATATCCACTGAGCTGAAACTTCAGCAGGTTAGGTTTTAAACATTCTTCTTTGGATTTTGAGTGGTGTTATTATTGGAAACGAACAAAACGCATGAAAAGCAAACGATCCTAGATGCTTTTAATCTTTGTCTGTTCTAATTGCAGCAACTTTTTCCAAGAATTCCCGAGCACTTCGAGTCTACAATGCATGTCTACAGGCAGTTGCTGACTACCGTACTTTTCATCTTACTATTGTTACACAGTAAGAAATGATCATTGTTTTTTGTTTTCCCTTCAGAACCCCCACTTATATCATGTGAAGGATTGATGAAAGAATGTTTTTGCTCAATTTTGTTGAAGACGAAAAGTGACAAACTTGTATAGAAGCTCCTACCAGAGCTTAAAAAATCAAATTGTGTTTGGAAGGGTTTAAAACATTTTGAGAAACTCTTGGAAGTTACCACTGAAATTGAGAAATTCTTGAAAAACTGAGAAAATCTTGGAAACTTCTTCACTTCAGAAAGTGTAGTTTAACTTTCGGAGACTAGATTAGTTCACCTAAATGTTTATGAAATAATTATGTTTCTGTTTCTGTAGGTACATTATTATCCCGTCGCGTCAGAAAGACACAGATAAGAAGTATTCCCGCCAGGCAGGTTTAGGTACCGGAGGAACAGGTAATTCTGGCCCCTTTTTACATTTGCTATGGGATATTCAATGGGTTTTAACAATAAAAGCTCATATTGCCTTCCCTGAATGCTGAGCACGGGAGAAAGGTGGAATACTCCCCCCCCCCCTCTCTGGATTGCTTGTCTGGGTGTGAAGTTGAATAGGCAACTGAATAATCATTCAGTCACTGCATGCTGTAGAAAATATTATTAAGTAAGGAAGTGTAAGTAGAATCACCAAAATAAACTTTACAAAAAATAAACTAATAAAAATGTACTCAAATATGGGAACAAATATATTACACGACTGGTATTAAAGATTTATGCAAATTAGGCATATTTCCACTAAAAACCCAGTTTGGTAACCATCATTTTCTGATTCAGCACCCCGAAATGAGGTAACATAGCTACGTTACCAACTTCTGCTCGAAAGTGCCTCTTCATGTAACATTTTTTGAAATATCGCCTAGGTAGTCTATATATATATAATCTTCAAAATTAGTCAATGTTTGCCACGTTAATTTGACCGATCATTAAGGCAAATGCATAAAGATGTTACATAACGAAGCACACAAAGAATATAAAGAAAAGAACAGTTTTTTTCCCCCAGGCAAACACTTTGTTACACTCTTCATTGTGAATTCCTTCTATCAACTGTTATTTACCATAGGATAAGTGAGGGCCACATTTGTGAGGCGCTCTGGCAAAATGAGACAGAATTGGGCAGAGGTCGAAATGAGGATTTGTGGGTATTAGGAACGAGAATACAATCCTCCTTACAATACTGTTTGTTGCATTCCAATTGGACATTCCATTGACAAGTTATGGCTGTTCAATTTCACATTAATCGACAAGTCCAAAAAGTATAATACTGAGAAAAAAAGGCCTTTAAAATATCAAGCTTTGTATTTGTGAAAGTGAAAGATACTAATTGTTTTCTTTAAAAAAAAAAATGAAGTTATTCCATGTTTTAAACTATTCTTTAAAAGATGGGTAGTAAATATATCAAAGATGACAAATATCAATAAATCTGAAAACCGAAAAACAAATATCACCGCTATTTTGTTTTTGCATTTTTTCTCCACTGAGGACTCTGTCCAGTTCCATCTCAATTTGCCAGAACGCCTTGCATTTCCTCTTTGAAAATGGTCACTAGTTTAATGACTCTTTTTTTTCCAGGGTTCATGATGTATCTGAAATCGTTGAGGAACTCTGTGGTGAATGCTTTCCACCAGAATGATGACGGAACAGAAGTTTGACGAACATATGCCCAGCTTTTTCCCAAACCCTGGTGATGAGCCAACAAAATTCATGATATGAATTTTAAAGTACTACAGCCAGACTAGAGTAATCGTGTATCAAGATCAGTACAGCTAAATTTTGTTTTAATTTTATGTTTTTCAGTACTTCTCGTGCAAAGCAGCTCTATGTATATTGAACCTAAATGCAGTATTCTTTTTAAGTTGAACAAAGAAATTCACTTGAGCGGGGTTCGAACCTGTGACCTCCGGATTGCTGTTCCGGTACTCTACCAACTGAGCTATCCAGCCCTATGTTGCCAGTTCCCCATTTTGTCAATGTCTTTGTTTAAGGGGAGTCAGTCGGAAGTCATATTCCTGCGTATGCCACGCAGCCAGGGATCATTCCCAAAGGCAAGATGCTAGCATCATTAGCAATGCTACAAAGTTTGTTTTTCTTACAAACTTTCCTGAATCCTCTAAAATCCACCACTGGATTTTCAAGGGTCACGTCAGCAGGCTACATAATGTTTGCTAGTTGTATTAAAAAGGATACTATTACAGCAGTGTGGTTGCGAAGGGTGATTTCTAAAGGTTACGTAACACTTTATTTTGAATGAAACTACATGCACACAGACATGTTCACGTTGGCTTGCGAAATCATTGAAAATTAATTTCTCCTGTTTGGAAGACCGTATCATCATGCAACTTTCAGGGTTATTTCCCTTATAATGATCCAGCTATGTGCTAAAAATCGTTGTGATATGTTCATTACTTTTCATTGAAATTGGAAAAATAGGCCTTTCTACGTGCATTTTTAAAAGTTGTATTACTGGTGTTTGCAATATCTGTCAATCTTTTCAAGCCTCACGAATAATAATAAGGTTCCTATCCATTATGGTGTGCAGTAAAAATTTGCATAAAAGCCTCCTTCATGAGTTATTAATTAATAAATATCACCCATTTTGCCAGCTTCCATTGGTCGATACCGAGACCCATGCCGAGTGACACTAATGAATATGCTAAATATGCGCTTCTCCATTGTGTTGCCGGGCCGAAATCGGTCAACCATAGCGCCTACAGCGCTATAGGATCTTTGCTGAAAACCGTGCAAGTGGGTTTGGTCGGCAAAAAATCCTAGTCGAAATTTTCCTTGGAGATGGTTCAAGGTGTTACACTAGCATTTGCAACAACAGATTAAGCTGAAATTTGGAATATACTTAGATGATGTAAGTGTTCAACTACTTGTGAAATAACAACTTTCGTAAATTCCTAGAAATTGATATAAAAACATAGATTTTGGGACGTTTTCGAACAATTTCTTCCCAACTTGAAGGTCAGCTTTACCAGTAACCAGTATGGAGGTTTCGGCATCGATGATGGTGATGTATTTCACTGACATGAAGTTTAGAATTTCTTCTACCTTTACAATTAACATTTCAATCATACTGAGCATATTTTTTGAAAAACACAAGTTCAAAAGGCTATGTTTTTTTGGGTTCATGAATTTCACTGTTCTGTTACTCGGTATTTAATCGGAACAGCTTTCCTTAACAACCGGCACGCTTTGGCGTTTGCAACCACACGGCTGATTATGTGCAGTGTTCTAAACAGTGGCAATTGTTATATATGAATCTATCAATATTAATGTCTTGTTTACATATCTGTTCGTGATTTTGTTTCAGCTGTGTATATTTTGCATTGTTAGATTAACCCAGTTGCTGCATTTTTGTTTCAATAGGTATCAAGTGAAGTTTTGTAATTTTCCAGCTATATATACATTTTCTAGATATATATTTTATTACACATGTATGAGCTAAATTTGGTACGCAACTTTTGACTAATTCAGCATTTTCAGTCACCGAACTTTGTAAAAGTTAAGGATCCTAGTAAGATTAAGGATTTTAGTATGCAAATAATATTGTTCCACTTTAGATCCACTTTAGGTCCACTTCTGATGCTGGGCGTAAAAATTGCTTAACCTTGCTCATGCAGTATATAAAGCACATATTTTCATTAGAGCTGGACTTTTTAATTTTTAATTGTTATTCAAATCTTTGTTAATGATGCAGCTGATAAGGCGAATTGTAAATACCTCAAATATGTCGATGACTTAACATTCGCCGAAAATAGGAACGTTTCTCTCAGTTGTTTGATTCAAAATGACTTAGATGAATTGGTTGAATGGTCAAACATTAATCATGTTAAACTCAATCCCTCAAAGTGTCAGGCTCTACAAGTGTGTTTCAAGAAAAACCCTCCTTTGGTTTGTGATCTTACAATTGAAGGTGAACCTTTGACTCTTGTCCATGAAGCCAAAATTCTTGGCCTCTGGCTTCACAATGACCTAAAATGGAACTCGCATATTTATCACACCCTTAAAAAAGCTAACATGAAGTTATTCATGTTGAGGACCCTGAAGAAGTTTGGTTTTTCCTCAAAAGAACTGTGTATTGTATACAAAGGCCATGTCAGACCAATTCTTGAATATGCCAATGTTGTATGGCACTCGGGTATTACTAAAAAACAATCTGACGACATTGAGCAAATCCAAAAGAGGGTTTGTAGAATAGTTCAAGGTAACAATTACACCTCATACCCAGAATCACTGGCAGCATGTGAACTAGACTCTCTGGCTGATAGGAGAAGAGATCAGCACTGTGTGAATTTTGCCCTAGGCTTGGTACATAACATCCGTACAGATTCAATTATGCCTCCTATCAGACAGGAGAGTCATGGGAGAACCCTTCGTAATAGCCATAATTTTTCATCCTTGTCAACTCGAACCAGTCGCTTTCATCCCCATCCCCTTTTTTACTAGAATTTTAAACAATTAAGCCAGATGGAATTTACCTGTTGGGGAGGGGGGGAGTGATGGTATTTAACTTAATCATGTCTGTGTCTTCGGTTTGTATGAGTTTTGTGAATGAGTATTTCTTTACTCTTTTATTAATTAAATAATTAATTAATTAATTTTTTTGTTACAGTTTTTTAATGTACATCTACTCTCAATTTATATGTTAAAGTTTTAATTGTTATGATCACATGCAATTTGACCTTTGGGTCACGATTTGTGGTTTTTAATAAAATAATAATAATATAATAAATTAATTATGAACATGATACAATGAAGATGCGTGCAGACCTAAATGCTGATTTGCGTGTGGGGCAGTTTGTGTATACCAAGTGGCTTTTTGCAATTTGTACTTTATTAGGCTGAGAACAAAATTGATGTCAGTGATAGCAAGGCAATTGTTGAGTACTGTGTTATGTATCATTACTGTTTTCCAGTACCTAATGGTGTTGCTGCATACACCATCCTAATAAACCTCTAGACAGTATTGGTAGTTGTTTCATTTTTACAGTACAAGTATTACCATGTCTGTTGAGAGTTTTAAAAGGAATTTGTGGTTGTGCAAAGAGTGCAGTGTAATTCCAGTCAAGTTCATGAAGGCGAAATCCGATAAATGTGAGAGCACTCTTGATGTACACAGGGTGTCCGAGGGAATCGTTGAGTCAAACTGGTTTGATTTTATGTCTCAATTTTATTTCTCAATATTTGGAAATATCTTTAAAGTAAGGCAAAAAAAAATATCGGTCTCTGGTCAGACCGAAGTTTCGGAATTGATGCGGCGACGCGTTTTTTTTTTCAATTGTACATACAAGGTAGGTACTATTTTGCTTTTTTGTGTCCTCATTATGCATTGGTGTCCTCCAACATTTGCCTTGGTGCCCTTTATGATTTGCCTTGGTGCAGTTTCCCCATTCCTTGGTGCTCCTTGGTGCAAAAATTTGAGAAGGTGTGGCAATAGAGGGCGCTGTTGTAGCTTCCGTGTTAATTTGAAGAAAAAAAAAAGGTTGATGCGCATGATTAAAATCGACACGCGCGCTGACCAGAGACCGAGTATTTTTTTTTGGCCTAATAATGATTTAAAAGTGCTATATAAGAAATCATTATTATTATTATTGTATTTATTATTAAAATTATTATAAAGTTCATTTGAAAACAGCAAATTAAAAAAAATACAATATTAATAGTGAAAATCTCATAATATCTTGAAATTAAGGTTTCATTTGAAGGTCCCATAATACTCATACATTGTACCAGGTTATTGTTTGGAATCCCAAGGGCAAAGTCTTATGTAGTCAAATTTAATGCGGGTTTCAATTTTTTCAAAATGATAAGTCTTATCATAATTTCGCATTGTTACTGGTAGCAAAAGTAGCTTTTTTGGCTTCATTCCAAACGTTTGGCAGGTTTTCTGCAACTTTTGGAATTAGGACTTCTGTGGATGGAGAACGCTTTGTCAATTGATGACGATGATGATCTGTCCCTGATGAATTCATAAGTTATTTTAAGGCCAGTTAGGATTGTTATTTATTTTAATATTCGCAAAACTTTTGGTCATTCATGAATCCACCACTGACTGGTATTTTTTTTTCAGGTCTAAATTGGACTTTGTCTTGAACATTTATAATTAACACTAAACATGGAACAACCACAAATAAAAACAGCCCATCACATCACCTTCGAATAATTAATAATATTTGGAAGAAACTTTAAATATTGGTTTTAAAATGAAGATCATGTAAAATATCCCCCCCCCCTAATCAGCCCCCCTCCTCATTGAGCCTAGTCTGAGTATCACCTGTGGATTTAGTCTGAGTATCACCCGTTATCCACAGAGCAAGACTCCTGTATAACGTCTGATATGTCTAGACATGCAGATGTATGCAAGCCGCGTGCCAGCCAATCGGAGTCGACTTACTAAATCATGACATCATTTCATTCCTAAATCAGGACTAAATGGTTTGATTGGTCAATTTGAACAGCCGGGCGCATTATCGGGTAATTAACATGATACAGAGCTCGTGACGCAGGTTTTTTTAATCCATTGTCTATGACGCGCAACGGGTGAATGACCAAAGACCCGATATATAAAAAGCGCCCGCTGATTGGTCAAAATTTAGGGGGTCAAGAGGCAGGGTCTTGCCTAATTAATCAGCGAATCTGCTCACATATCATAGACCCATGGTGAATGCATATGGGTCTATTACATTGAGCCCCCCCCCCCCCCCCCCCCCCCCCCAAAAAGAAAACACCCAACAAACAAAATGGATGTAAAGAATGTTTAGTTGTGGTTTTTTAGTTGTGATATTGTACTAAATATTCCCCGAATTCTTTCCGACTTTGGCACCGAATTTCCCCTCCCGGCCCCGCCCCCTCCCGGCCTCCTCTTTCGACGCGCGCCATCTGCCGTGCCGCGGCCGGACGGAAAGGGGCGGGGACCAATGAAAATGTTATGCCAATGCATGTCGGTCAGTACAGTGTGGCGATATGGCGCTCCGTACATACTGCACTGCATGCAGTACATATGTACGTAGACCATCGAAAAGGTGGCTACCGTAGAAACGGCTGCGAGCTACACCTAAAATATGTGCACGAATTTCGTCTTTTTTGGAGTACGTGTGCACAGCAAAAGTCAACTGTCTACGAGACTAAACCTGCAGGGATTCTTTGTGGTTGGAATGACTAGCTGTCGTTCGTGGCTTAGGTGGATTTGAGGTCGTTCTTTTTGGTTGCTACGGTCGGCTGGCTGTGTCGTCTGCTGCGCTGGCGGCCATCGTGTTCGTATGTCATACAAACCGTACACAACCTAACGCAACCGGCCGTGGAGTTGGTGTTTATCTTTCACACTGATCAGTACTGAATTGCAACTGCAAGTTTATTTATGAGGAGGACGACAACAATGTGTCAAGAATTAGGCCCACTAGGGAGCAAGATTTGTTTTCTTCAAGAAACTTAATCCTCTCAATTTCAGCGGCCTACATTTTCAATAGAATTTATCGTCTGACACTGTTCTGTCAAATTTGCAATTGCAGTCAACAAGAACAATGCATAAATCTGACCTGAATTTAGACCGAGTTATAGAACAGCTACTGCAAACCACAGGGAAGCAGGTAAGACGTGTGTTTTGCAATTGCAGTCCCTTTTTTTTTCCTTTTTGTTCTATTAACATGATTAAATAGTTTTTAATAAACTTTATTTTCCTTCAGATATTTTGGAAAAAATGTTGCAACCTGACGCAAACCTACGCTACGGCAGTGACTGTCAATATGTTGAGGCTTGGCCAGTGACATCCTGAAGACCTTGACAAAGTGCATCTTACGAAATCAGTAACGCACTTTTGCCATGTAGGCCTAACCTCAATCCTCCAAATCTTCCACTTCGGCAAAGAGGATTTTGAAGGATTTAGAGCGGTTAGGGACGTGGCATCAATAACAACGCCATGCGTAACTGTGTAATGAAAACCTTCGACGTGTTCAAATTTTCTACATGAATATCATTTGTCCTAGTACGATTCTTACACGTGAAGAATACAGTGAATATTCCTATCGTAACAGTTGGCATTCCAAATAAATTTGGGATTTTTTGGAGGGAGAATTATGGAGGAGGGTCCGAACGTTTGCAACTTTTCATGATCACGCTGGTACCCTGAAATGGTACGCTGGTAGCTGTACGCTCAAAATGATAGAAGTCTGCCGAGTACCCGTTAGGGGAAAAGTTCCGTACTCGATCGTCAATTTATCTGCTGCCAAACATATTAATTGTCACCTCACCTTGTCATTTGAACCAAGAGAAATCCAGGAAGCTGTGTAAAGGTGAAAAAATTTACTCAAAATGTGTTTTTAGAGCACATTTTGGATGCATACGTCGTGCAGATCTAACTTGAAGCAGCCGGTCAAAACTGATTGTAGTGGCTAAAAGACAGCGGTACGTTATACGCATGACATCAACAACCATGACGTCGCATGAGCCTGCCAATGATAGTGCAATACGTCGTTATGAATATTTATTTTCTCATGAATATTTAGTTTATTTCAATGGATACTTCAAATACGTCCAAAGATTGATTATTGCAACAGCGATCGTGCGCGGCCTAGCGGTTAAGAGTCTCGTGTATCAAGCAAGCGTCAGAGGTTCGAATCTCGATGAAGTAACTGACTGATTAATAAACAGAAATTAAGGAAAGGAGAGGGTGATAGTAGAGGAGGGAAAGTGGAGGAATAACCATAAAAGATGTAACTTTTGGCGCTAGAAAATTAATTGAAAAAAGTGGCGATCGAGTACGGAACTTTTTCCCCTGTTAAGTGTTAGCTCTGTAGAACACTGAAGAACGCATGCGCGCATAGGATTAGACGGTTCACCCGAACAATCGATGGCTGTTCCATGTCGTATCGGAATCAATGTGACGATCTAGGTTATTGACGACACATTCACAGATTTAGATGTGATCATGTACAAGTTTATGCGTCTATCAAATGTTCCCCCCCCCCCAAAAAAAAATATGGAACCCAATGTGGCAAAATGATGTCAAGCCCCCCCCCCCCCCCCCCACCACAATCCACTTCTCGAATGTTTTACTGCCACCCAAAAAATCTCCAGAAAAAATGGCTTACTCACCCCCACCCCCCCCCCCCCACTCCACCCCTCCTAAGGGCCTATTATGTAAACCCATGAACAATTTCTGAATATGCCACTAGTGACCCAATCAGCTAACGGGTACCATTGCTTTTAATTTATAATATTAAAGGAGAAGGGTTTTTTTCTGAAAAAAAAGTGCCCAAAACTGTGCAATTCTAATTTCATACACAAAAAAATTAGCAACTCAGCTATAAATTAAATAATTTTATTGTTAATTAACCCTAACCGACTTGCATCCTTCAAAATCCTCTTTTCCAAAGTGCAGGAATTTGGAGGATTGAGGTTACATGGCAAAAGTGCATTACTGATTTCGTAGGATGAACTTTGTCAAGGTCTTGGGCCGGACCTTGTGTTGTTTTTGCTCAGCCATGCATAAATATAGGCCTGGATTATGCTTGAAATCCTCCGTACTGCTCCAGGATGTCACTGGCCAAGCCTCAACATAATTATTGACAGTCACTGCCGCAGGATTTTGCAGGATTCAGGCAGTGGTCACCCCTCCACGGACCATACTCAAGAAATAATGGAGGAATTTGCAGGATTGAGGCTATATGCTATTTTTCCATGAGGCCAATTGGAGGATTTTGCAGGATTGAGGCTACAAAAAGGCCTAGGGGGTTAAGGTTTTAATGTTTGTACAAATCTGTGTAATTTGTTTAAGTTTTGTTGGAAAGAGTACAGAAATTGCAAACATTCTGTCCAGCTTTCAGGCGAAACAAGAAACAGTTTACAGTCTTCCTTCCGTTAGACACAGGGCCCCAAACTGCTGTCATAATATTCATGTCGTGGCTGTTCCATGATGCACGCACTTGATTAATCTCAAGGGTCTATCTAATGGTTGTCTGGGGATGAGTGAAGGATTTTGTTTAATATACGAATGGTGCTAGACTGATGGTGATTTCTCAGTGGGGGCTATTAATATTAAGTCGAGCAGGTGATGGTACAGCGTTGTGCATGTAGATCTTTTGGCCTGTTCTTCCCCTGACTACATGTGACGGAATCCTGGGCTCACAATATATTTGCTTCCGTCATTGGCAGTTGTGCGTTAACAAGCCCCACTGCGGGTAGCCAAGGCTATGTGTGTCATTAAGAGAGCATACACCCATTTCCTCACTAATAACTTTTCTGATTGTAATGTGTTTCACTGAGAGCCGTCAATTAAGATGTCAGGATGATTGTGGATGTGATCCAGAATGATGATAATGATATTTTTTCATTGTTGGTTGACGATAATTTTGTCATTTTTAAAAGAGCCAAGAAAAAAAATACCTGAATTTTCATTCAAAATTTTCACTGTATTTAAATAAAATTTATTTCCTTTTTTTTTTGGTGTAAGATTGTCAGCAGTGCAGTCTTGCCGCGTAGTGCAGCAGACCCGAATAAACAGCACAGCAAATGCAGAATAAGGAATGCATGCAAAAAGAACTACAAATTAAGAATATTAATTATTAATCGACCATTACCCCCTCCCTACCAGTATGTTTACTGGAGATAAAAAAAAATTATAGAAAAAAAATAGAAATTATCAAACTATCCCACCCTATTTTTTTCACTATAATAGAAAATCCAACATTTTGTTTTCTGCGTTTAAATTCATTGATTAATTAGTCACCGCTAATAAATGGAATCATTTTATGTTGTTTTTATTTATTTGATAAATTTGGGTTTTTTTGGTCATGCATTTTTTTTGTATTATTTTTGAGCGGAGAGTAGCAGTGGGGTTCATTTCAAAAGTTTTTGCATTTCTTGCCTAACACTTTATTTGCTTTTATTTTTTTTTATTTATTAATTTTTTTAATCAGTGCTTATCCTTATATTTGACCTGATTTTCTTTACCGAGGCCCTTTACATGTATTACAGTTTCAAAAATACACACACTCGCACTCATCACGGACTCTTTTTCTTTCATCGGTCAGGTCCAACTTCCAGAGAACCAAATCCGACAGCTATGCCAGCTGTCAAGGGAGAAGTTCCTGGAGGAGCCCATGTTGCTGGAACTGGAAGCCCCGTCAACATTGTAGGGGACATTCACGGCCAGTTTATGGACCTGATCCGGCATTTTGAAACGCTAGGATACCCCCCTGAGAGTAACTACCTGTTCCTGGGTGACTACGTTGACAGGTTAGTGTGTGAACAGATAAAACAAAATCGGGTTTTGTGCAAAAGTAAATTGGGGGGGGGGGGGGCTAAACGTCCTTACTCGCAACTTAGAAGCTGAATTGCGAAGGACGCGGCTACAATGAAGTCGAGCCAAAGGCATGTAAAGGCGTCTTAGGCTGCCGCATACGACCCATGTCTGACCGCGGAGCACAGCCAGAGATCGAAAGTGTTCATTTTTGCAGAGGGAGGAAACCGGAGAGCCCAGAGAAAAACCGTCTAACTCACATATGGCCCGAGCTGGGAATCGAACCCCGGCCACAGTGGTGAGAGGCGAGCACTTTACGCACTAACCACCAATGCCACCCTAAAGCAATGCTAATTTACAGAAGTGCGACTTTGTCACTTGACAATGTCGCGTGGTTTCAAACATTGAAATATACACAAGTCACTGACCGTGTTTACATTCACGTGACAAACTCATGCGACTTACCGCACGATTTAAAAAAAAATCAAATTCAAAGTGATGTTATCACGCCGCTCATAACGTCACGTCACATATTTTCACTGGATACTGTGCCTGAACTGACTGGTTGTAAAAGATGGACGATCGATTTTTTTTTTTCTGAATATGAGTCACGATGAGATTTAAAGCAGCTTGTCAAATTGCTGCTTGCTCACTTGAAACTTTCCCGAAACTGTTTCCCCATTTTCGAGCAGCTCTATGGTTAGGGTATGAAAGTCGCCCAGTTATGATCTTTTACAGTATCACGTTCTCATCCATGACCACCTTGAAGAAAATGAGGCATATGTGTATGAGGTAGCCATGTTTGTGAATGTCAAAAAAAAAGGCCACATTAGTAATATGACATTTTCTTTGTGAGCTTATTTCAAAAATCGCAAAACAAACTGCGTATTTGTGGACACACGTGCACTTGCAACACTGCTGCGCAACAGAGTCATGTCATGAACATTGTACAAAAATGTTCTCCAATTGCCTGTTGGGAGGCCTATACAACCTGTATCTTACATAAGTGGGATACATTTACATGCACATGTAGCATCCTTGGCCTGCTGTCTTAAGCCCATGCATTAATTATCTTGCTGCAGTACACCACTTTGCATAATTAATGAACGGAAACAGATCTCGTTAGATGCTTGTTAATGCATTGTTAGTTTGGCATTTTAATTTAAATGCCTGCGTGTGTAGGAATCAATTGACAGAATAAAAATAAGATTTTTTTTTTTTTTAAATACATGTACAAGTTGTAGGAACCCTAATGGTTTCAAATTTGTCTCTGTTTCATATGTTAGTTATTTTGTGTGGAGTTCATTGCTTTTATTGGTAATGAAGGATTTTTGCAAGATTAAGAAATTAATCCTGATGGTTTGAGAATTTAAGCCATGCCTGCATTACAGTCCTGCTTGACCTCTATTTTACATGCAAACATTTCATAATAAACGTCACTACTTTTATTGCATTTGCATAGTTTATATTTAACGACCATGCATAAGGCCTCTTTACATGATGTGTAGTGTAATGCAGATGTGAAGCGAATTTGTAGAAAAAAGCTGCATAATTTGCCTTGGGTTGAATTGTGTTCAACTTTTGCTTGCGAATTAGTCGCATGAAAATTCGACATGCCTTCACAAATTAACGTTTGTGTGCATATTTTCGCTGAGTAGAACCAACCTTTGCACTGCATTGAGCAAATTTCATCTACAAAATAACAGGCAGGTTAACAATATTACATGTAGATTTCAAAGTTCGAAATTCAAAGAAAATGTACAGTAATGCTGTGGTCGAACTTGAAGCACCCCCCCCCCCTTCCAAATCAGAGAAGCTCTAAAGCGATGTACGTATAATTGCTGAATTTGTAAATTAACATTACTGTGTAAAGGCTGATGCATACTCAGCGAGATAGCAAAGACACGGACACGAATTTGTGAAGTCATGGCAAGTATTTGTGCAGCGAATTGGCCGAAGTTGAACACATTTAAACTTTTGGCAAATTTCGCAGCAAGTGCTTCTCAATCTGAACATCAAATTCATTTCACGTACATATGGCATTAAAGTACATGTATGAATCAATCCTAATGGAAGCTGACAACATTTTGAAATAATATTAATCATATTCAACCATAGACATTGTACATGTATGTACGATGTTACTTTTTGAAGGAGAAATTATTTTGATTGTGAACAGTACATGTCATAGTGTAAAGCTAAAGGTATTTGAAGAAGTATAGCGGGTAGAACTGAGACATTTTCAGGTCAGGCGTTTACAATATCCGACTGTAGAGTCAATCAATTTCCCACTGTCTGTGCTCCCTTGCAATGACCACGGAGCAGCACAGCTGCTGCCCAGAGGCTTTCGCTGGTTAAACAAAGTACCACGCTATACGGGCCGGCAATCAAGGCTCCGCAGGAATGGAAAGTGTATTCGTAACCTAGTTCATGTTGTAAATGGGTCCGAATTGAATGAATTGGTTCTCCATTGATATAGTGTGCGGCCGTCAAGCGATTGGCAAACGAGCCTCTGGATTGCCTTCTCATTAACATAATGTTCAAGAAATGTACATGTATTTTTTTCACCCATTTTTTTTATATACCGGGTACCTAATATCATTGGATTAAAGCTATGCCCTTCCAAATTGCTGTAGATTAGTGTCACTTGGCATCACTGTTTTTTGCTGTAAAGCATTGCAACATGGTGAAGGGGATTTCCATTTTCTAGAAATTGACAAGAAACACTCTTGCACAAATGTCAAATACTCTATGTACATGTACTGGTACGTTATACATGTACATGTACGTATATTTTCTTCATTGAACATGTCATACCTTTGTGAAAGATTTGAAGTAATTTAAGGCAGACGTTTGAAAAGTGTCTGCTTCACTCCAGTAGTATAAATAAACATTTTCCCTTACACTAAAAATTTGAGGTCGTCAGATTTAAACCGGTAATGTCTTTGTGTGGGCATCAGGTGCCTTCGGCATTACGTTCAATTCACACCAAATGGTCTCCTCCAGCTCTCAATTAAAAGTGATATGGGTACTTGAGTTTGTTTCTGCATTGAATAGGGGACGTTGAACAATAGTATACAAATAATGAATGTTAATATGCATGCGATGGTGAGAATATTTTCATGAGTTGAAAGATTTAATGTTCCATTCAACGAGGCGAAGCCGAGTTGAATGGAACATTCCATCTTTTGACAAATGAAAATATTCTCACCATTGCACGAATGCAAAACATTCATTATTTGTTTTATATCACATCCAAGTAGATCTTTGTCATTCAATTGGAGGATGAAACTTTAAGAACAAACAAAAGTCACAAAATTGTATCATATCCACCTTGTTCAAGGCAAACAAAGGTTTAAAAGTCAAATCATTGACAATAATGAAAATTAACGTTGTAAGTTCTTCAAACAATGCAAAAAACTAAAACATCAAGGCAACTGCATCAACTTCAAAGGCAAGTTTTGTACTGCTATAACGCATATTATGGGCTAAATAGTGCAAAGATTGTACAGGGCCGGGCCGCTGCGCATCTTAGCGTGCGCGCGGCATGCAATGCACGGTGAATGGAACCAAAAATGTACGGTTATGACGTAGACGCGCAATGGTTCGATTAATTAATGTCGCGTGATCTACAATCCTCCAATCAAATGACAAAGATTTACTTGGGTGTTATATAAAAGGACAATAGGGTCCCCAATTCCCGGGAGGTCCCTAATTTTGATTTGTGTACAAAACATATGGGAGGTCTTCCTAAAAAGTTAAAGTACAACCAAAAGAGGGACAATAGGGGGTCCTCGATTGCAGGCAAATATACTGCTACGTGTACATGTTGGAGTTTAGCATTGAAATATTAACATTACATGTCAAAAAATATTGTCAAGTATTTTGAAACTTTCTCTTTGTTAGGGAGGGGTCTTTAGATTTTCCATTTATACAATTATTGAAGAAAAATAATAAAAATTTTGTTTATCTTTCTACTGCTCTAGTCCTGACTCGTATGTGTTTTTCCTGACCATTTTTCAGGTAATTTATCTATTTATTTTAAATTGATCCTTACATAGTCCTTTTGTTTAAATATACATTCTACTGTTATTTTTCCCTTTTAGATGATTGGCGAATTCTCTCGAAACAGAGGGATTTTTTTTTTAAATACTGCAGCATAGAGCATTTAGGGCGACAGTCAAACAGTGTACATGGTGTGTGTGTGTGCATGTTCTTCTAAATTCTCACAAAAGCAATTTGTTTTTCTAGATATTAATTGTCGCACACGATCAAAAATAATTTCCATTCCCAAGTTTTCCAATTACAGAATCGCCCCGCTGTGTTTATTCCTCCAAGGTAACACAGAGAATGTCTGGAATTTCCCAACGTGCAAGTCCAACAGTCCTCTTCTTAATAGCAGGGGTCTGTCTTGTGTTAACGCCCAGTATTCCTGGATTCATTGATTGGACTACCTGGTGGGTGTGCGTGTCTGATGGGCTGCTGCACTGGACTTGCCAAAGTCTCTTGTGCTTACTACTTGTAAAATTTGATCATAACATGCACTGTGCTAGCCCCATGATCTGAGCTAGTTTCACAGTGATAAATTGAAGTGTTAAAGCTACAGTCCATCATTTGCAGCTATCTAAAAAGTAACTGACGTAATTATTGTTGAAAAACATACTTGGTCGAAAGACATGAAAGGGAACTAAGCTCCCTGTGAAATTATTCTTTCTGGCATGCTGTCATTTTGAAGAATCAACGAAAGAAGGCCTTTCCAACGGTGGACATTTCTGTTAGTAGTTTGTTTTCTTTATTCGGCGAAGTGCGCGCAAGCGTTGACACGACGCACACGTGCGCGTGGTTGCTATAATTCGTCGGTTCAGTGCACAACATGGCGTAGCTGCAATCGGCTCAGTGAGAACGTGTCTCTGACGCTGAATTCAGGCCCAATCCAAAACATGATTCAGCAACTTTTGATTTGACATCGAGATCCTAGAATGTTGATTTTCTCGAA